TGTACTCACCGGTCTCTTCTCCCTTCACCATCATTTTAAACTTGAGATCTTTACTTTACCTGAAACAAGACAAGTAAGCAACAATCAAAATAACAGTCGACCATTTTACGACTGTGGCAACCAGAGTAAAACAAATTAACATTTACTACAACTGTACGCTCTTTCCCTGCACCATCAAATAGTGATCTAAGCAAACCAGGACGGCAATAGCAACGATAACGACATGAAAGAAAACATATAAGCAGAATAATAGCTCAGCAAGTGCAATCAACGACTGTGTATATTTCTTAGTTCTCTTAAAAACCCAAGAAACTCGAGGACAAATTGGTAACATCTTGGAAGTCCATGATACCTTCACATAAAAGTACAAGAGCAATTCGGATGTCATTCATGTAACACGATAACAAGAAAAACCTTAATGCTCGAGATACTAACGTAACAATCCATTACAAGAAAAAACTTAGAATGTGCGAGATACTAACGCAACGATCACTTACAAGAAAAAACTTAGAGTGCGCGAGATACTAACGTAACAATCCATTACAAAAAAAGACTTAGAATGCGCGAGAAACTAACGTAACAATCCATTACAAGAAAAAACTTAGAGTGCGCGAGATACTAACGTAACAATCCATTGCAAGAAAAAACTTAGAATGCGCGAGATACTAATGTAACAATCCATTACAAGAAAAAATTTAGAATACGCGAGGTACTTAGCTAACAATCCATTACAAAAAAACTTAGAATGCGCGAGATAATTACGTAAGAATCCATTACAAAAAAACTTAGAATGCGCGACATACTAACGTAACAATCGATTATAAGAAAAAACTTAAATTGCGCGAGATACTAACGTCACAATCCATTACAAGAAAAAACTTAGAGTGCGCGAGATACTAACCTACCATTCGATTAGAATAAAAACTTAGAATGCGTGAGATACTAACGTAACAATCGATTACAAAAAACTTAGAATGCGCAAGATACTAACCTACCATTCGATTAAAATAAAAAACTTAATGCGTGAGATACTAACGTAACAATCGATTACAAAAAACTTAGAATGCGCGAGATACTAACGTAACAATCGATTAGAAGAAAATACTTACAATGCGCAAGATACTAACGCAACAATCAATTAGAAGAAAAAACTTGGAATGTGCGATACTTACGTGACAATCCATTAATAAAAAAAACTTAGAATGCGCAAGATACTAACGTAAAAATCCATTACAAAAAAACTTACAATGCACGAGATACTAACCCAACAATCGATTACAACAAAAAACTTAGAGTGCGCAAGATACTAACGTAACAGTCCATTACAAAAAAAAACTTAGAATGTGCGAGCTACTAACGTAACAATCTATTACAGAAAAAACTCAGAATTCGCGAGATACTAACGGAAAAATCGATTACAAGAAAAAACTTAGAATTCGCAAGACACTAACGTAAAAATCCATTACAGAAAAACTTACAGTGCACGAGATACTAATCCAACAATCGATTACAAGAAAAAACTTAGAGTGCGCGAGATACTAACGTAACAATCCATTACAAAAAAAAAACTTAGAATGCGCGAGATACTAACCTAACAATCTATTACAGAAAAAAACTTAGAATGCGCGAGATACTAACGTAAAAATCGATTATAAGAAAAAACTTAGAGTGCGCGAGATACTAACGTAACAATCCATTACAAGAACAAATTTACAATGCGCGAGATACTTACGTAACAATCCATTAAAGAAAAAAAAACTTAAAATGCGCGAGATACTAACGTGACAATCCATTACAAGAAAAAACTTAGAATGAGCGAGATACTTACGTAACAATCCATTACAAGAAAAAAACTTAGAATGCGCAAGATATCAACCTAACATTCGATTAGAATAAAAATCTTAGAATGCGTGAGATACTAACGTAATCGATTACAAAAAGAAAACTTAGAATGCGCGAGATACTAACGTAACAATTGATTAAAAGAAAAAATTTAGAATGCGCAAGATACTAACGCAACAATCGATAAGACACAACTTAGAATGCGCGAAATACTAACGCAACAATCGATTAGAAGAAAAAACTTAGAATGCGCGAGATACGAACGGAACAATCGATAGAAGAAAAAACTAAGAATGCGCGACATACTAACGTAAAGATCGATTAGAAAAGAAATCTTAGAATGCACAACATACTAAGGCAACAACCCATTACAACAGAAATCTGGGAATGCCCGAGACACTAATGTAACAGTCGATTAGAAAAAAAAACTTAAAATACACGAGACACTAACATAACAATCGATTACAAGAGAAAACTTAGAATGCGAGAAATACTAACGTTAGAATCGATTGCAAAAGAAAATTTAGAATCAATGCACAAGATACTAACGTAACACTCGATAACAAGAGAAAACTTAGAATTTGCGTGATACTAACGTAACTATAGATTAGAAGAGAAAACTAAGAATGCGCGAGATACTAACGTAACAATCGATAGAAGAGTAAACCAAGAATGCACGAGATACTAACATAGAAATCAGTTACAAGAGAAAACTTAAAATGCACAATATACTAAGGCAACAACCCATTGCAACATAAAAACTGCGAATGCGCGAGATCCTCACGTGACAATCGATAACAAGAGAAAACTTGAATGCGCGAGATACCAATGTAATAATCTATTAAAAGAAAAAGACTGAGAATGCGTGAGATACTAACGTAACGATCAATTAGAGGAGAAAACTGAGAATGCGCGGAATACTAACAGAACAATCGATTTGAAGAGAAAACTTAGAATGTAGTGGGGCTAAATGTAATTTAGGCAAAGTTCAATTTCAAGCCAATGCGGTCAGCGGTCTCCTCCCCAAGCGTACGTGACCTACAGGGTGACCGCAGGGGGTCTTTGCTTATCTTGTGANTCTATTGTCGATGAGTTTAACGAGATGGTAACGTAGGAATCCATTAGGAAAGAAAACTGAGAATGCGCGAAATACTAACGTAACAATTGATTAGAAGAAAAAACTAAGAATGCACGAGATGCTAACGTAGTCATCGGTGAAAAGGAAAACTGAGAATGTGTAAGATCCTAAAGTTTCAATCGATTAAAAGAGAAAACTGAGATTGCACGAGATACTAACAGAACAATCGACTTGAAGAGAAAACACAGAATGCGCAAGATGCTGACGTAAGAATCGATTAGAAAAGAAACTGAGAATGCGGGAGATACAAACGTAACAATCGATTAGAAAAAAAAAGCTAACAATGCACGTAATAATCCATGAAAAGGAAAACTGAGAAGGCGCGAGATCCTAAGGTAACATAACAATTGATTTGAAGAGAAAACTTAGAATGGGCGAGATGCTAACGTAAGAGTCGATTAGGAAAGAAAGCTAAGAAAGCGCGAGATATTAACGAAACAATCGATTAGAAGAAAAAGCTAAGAATGCTCGTAATAATCGATAAAAAGGAAAACTGAGAATGCGCGAGATCCTAACGTAACAATCGATTAGAAGAGAAGACTGAGAATGCGCGAGATCCTAACGTAACAATCGATTAGAAGAGAAGACTGAGAACAAGCGAGATCCTAAAGTTACAATCCATTAGAAAAGAAAACTGAGAATGCGCGATACACTAACGAAACAATCAATTAGAAGAGAAAACTGAGAATGCGCGAGATACTAACGTAACAATCGATTAAAAGAGGAAACTTAGAATGCGCGAGATACTAACGTAACAACCGATTATAAGAAAAAATTTACAATGCGCGAGATACTAACGTAACAATCGATTAGAAGAAAAAACTGAGAATGCGCGAGATACTAACGTAACAATCGATTAAAAGAGGAAACTTAGAATGCGCGAGATACTAACGTAACAATCGATTAAAAGAGGAAACTGAGAATGCGCGAGATACTAAGTAATAATCGTTTTAAAGAGAAAACTGAAAGTGCACGAGATGCTAACGTAGGAATCCATTAGAAATTAGAACATAGCTAGCAGAGTCGCGCAATCAAATTCATTATCCGTAAGCGTGCTCAAATTCCCGATAGTGTACGCTGATAGCGTCAGCAAATCCGACTTCGCCAGAAAAAAATTTTTTTCGCGCCAGCGGCCATTGCTAGTGCGGGGAAAAATAATACATTTCGCGACAATAATGGATACAAACAGAAGCTCGGCCTGCTATTCCGAAAACGAAGACAATGTTTCGATTTTTTCCCATGGGCTAGAGTTCTTAAATGAGGCAGAAAAAGAGAAAAACAAAGGAAAAGGAGACTCGGCATCAGCGCCGTCACGATTCGCTTCAACTGATATTGTTGTCCGTTTTTCGCGTCGCATTTGATGCACAATTCCACCGGCTATGTTCTAAAACAATTGGTTCATGCTTTCAGCTGTGCACTATCGAGTTATGGAGCACGTGGGAAGTTTGGAGAGCACTCAAGAAGCTAGAGTTGCCCTCGGCTATCGCCTCGGGCAACTCTTACGCTTCTTTCGTGCTCTCCAAACTTCCCGCGTGCTCCATAACTCGATAGTGCACGCNTCACCATCATGAAAGACTTATGCACTTTTTATCAACATTTGGAACCGCATTGTTATGAACAAGACTTCAAGTCCAAATTACCTGGAACACCCACGAAGTACAAAAGATATTCTCTCAGAGGCCTGCCAAAAATCCACAGCCATCATCTGAATGCCGCCACAGTCAACAAGCAAATTACACTCGATTGACCAAAGTATCATTTATTAGGGGACTCAAATTACAATTCGCCACAGCTTTTCACTGCGTTGAGAGAAATTTCAGTACTTTCTGTGTTTCAATATGGGATGGACCTGCATGTGAAAGGAATACAACTGTTTTTTTTTTTTTGCCAGTTTCTTGCTTCTGTAAGCCTTAGAACTCTTGACATCCAAAACATTTGTCAACCGTAGCTTTGCAATGTCTGCTGCAAAGACATCGATCATTCAGTGTTTCCCATTCTCATAATTTCTATTCTCACAATTTCTATTCTCACAACATTCTCATAATTCCCATTCTCACAATTTCTGATTCCTCAATGTCTCTTTCCGAGTCAACTGGTTCTTAGCCCAGAAAATAATTTAGCTCAGACTGGAAGGGCTTCAAGCTACTCATACTTGGGAAAGAAAGACTGATAAATTTAAATTTTGGACTGATGTGTGGCCTCTGCGCATGAGAGAAGTGTTTCAGTTCTCCACCACTGACGGTCACATTCAACCGCTGTTACTCGTTTTGAACCTACGGTCATACGGCTGCAAAAGCGGAAAAAAAGGGAACTTCAAGTCTGATTTTCTCGTGAATGACAAGAAATGAACAAAAATAAATACCAAGACTTTTATCTTATTCCTTTAAAGCTAACTAGAAATGAATGCAAAAAAATTTTTAATTTTAAGCTTCAGTTCCCCTTAAAGCCCAGCACAAACTATTCAAATTTAAGGTGTAAGAGATAATATTTTTCTCACATCTTTACATACTTTCATCATACATCTTTTCTCATCCAACGAAAAAAATCTAAGTAATTGCATCAGTTATGGTTCGCAACTGCACATCAGCTCATATGACAATACATGTAATGCACAGTTATTAATTACAAATCAACAGTGAGCGTTCGTGCTTAGAATACAAAATATTTTAGTTTCTTGCTAAATACTTAAAATAACAGGAAGCAGGAGTCAATTGCAATAATCTGCACATCAGGCAGTTTTCAGCTTTATTATCCTTACCTCTGATGGTGGATCTGAATGTTGCACGTGTTTTTCATTTTGGAGTTTTCTAACTGCTGTTCCGTGTTTTTTTTTTTTTCCCATCCAAACTCCATAAAAGGAGACTCAATATGAACTAAGAAGTAAATAATGC